TTTCCCTTTCTTCCTCGGATATCTTGGAAAATATCTGAGTGACTCATGCTCAGGAAATAGCAACCAGCATAAATAAAGTGGGATTTGGGGTTTTGTGTTTTTCCATTGTTCTGAAGCTAGGGCATTCTGTAACAGGTGAGCATATGCGTGGGTGCCAGTCAGCTCTGCGGTGGCCACTACCTTACACGAGAAAAAAAAACCATAGAACCAGCCAAACAGGTGCCTTTATTTAGATCCGCTTTTCTCAGAATGCAGCCATACTTATGGGACAGACCACCCAGAGTATCCAGCTCTACTCCACTGAGTTTACCCCAGAGCAGGCCCATCCTGAAATAATGAGGCAGAACCAAGTGCTGGTTCGGTTACTGTCCCATGGGTGGGAGAACACAAGCATTTCAGAGGGCTGCTGCATGAGGCGGAGCTGATTGCTGGCAGCAAGTGCTCTGCAGACAGCCTAGAGGGAGCCGAGAGGCATGTCTCCTTCAGAGCTGAGACAGCTTGGAGTTAGAGCAGACCTCAGCTGGGGAACAACTAGCCGAGGCAGACACTTGCCTCCAAGTGGCAAAGGGACAAAGCTGCTTTCTCTGCCACATTGTTTTACTAAAGGATCAGGCTGGGCGCGGCAGATCACAGCCACATAGGGAGTAACATGGAGGGGAAGACTGACAGCCCCTGGAGGCCTGCTGGGCGTACAGCTACTGCATCCTTGGAGGTAAGGAGCTTTAGCTAAGTTGGGTGAATTAAAATCCTGAGTGATCCTGCATAGCCCTGGATGAGACCAGCCTGGCTCAGGCATACATGGTGAGCTGCAGCCACTGAAAGAGGAAGTCCCAAGATCAGAATGCAGACAAGGCGAGAAAGACCCCAGCCCCAGGGATCTTACGGAGCAAGGAGAAAGGGGACAGTCCCAGCATGCTGGACACCAGGCAGTAGCACTTAACCGCTTCCTTCCCCCATCTGTCCTAGGAAGGTACGTGTTTTCCAGCATGGTTCTGGGAGCCACAGCCCTTTGGAATGTTCCCTGAACACGTGCCTTATGAGCCACATTCCCCGCTGAGCTTCCCTCCACGTTCCTTTCCTATCCTGTCTCTCCATTTAGAGCACACAGTGAGTGGGTCCGTCCTGCCTGACTTCACCCTGAGTTTTAGGGTTCAGGGGCGCGTGCTGCATCGATTATACTTCACCTCTAGAACATTGAGTTTGATGATGCCGTCTCCGTCCTTGTCAAATGCGTTAAAAGCTCCTGTGTGAAAGTATGAGGGGCCGGTTGCAGGCTCACTCCACTCCCCTTCTGTAACTTCTTACGAGGACCTTATACTAAAAGTGCTGCAGACATTGCTACAGGCAGTCACCACACCCACCCT